TGTCCCCACCCGAATGAAGAATGAATGTTGAGTACTATTTTAACTCTTATGTATTGTTTTATGTTTATTGTTTATACCCACCTCCCTATTTTATGTAAGCCGCCCTGAGTCCCCGCGGGGAAAAGGGCGGCCTATAAATATTAATAAAATAAATAAATAAAAAATAAATAAATGAACACAGAAGCATTTCTACTTGGTTTACATTAAACTGTAATTAAATGAAATTTTACACGTGTAATTCTATGGCTCTATAATGTCTGACTGCCTTAGTCGAGCCTAATGCTGTGATCATCAGAACTGCTGAACCTGCCATATGCCTAATAATCTGGAAAGGGCAATTAGGGAATATGCTAGGCTTTGAGGCTTTACTCCTTTATACCAAAAAGTTCAGAAATCAAAACAGACTCAAGAGCATGGTATGACTGTAACCTCAGCAAAACTGTTCTGCTTCACTAGAAGCAATACTTCCCCTTCCCAGAGCATAGATTTGATTGCTTCCTATTGTTCTATAAGGTTTGAGCAATGTAAGATAAGGGCCAAGAGATATTTTAAAAAATAGAGTTTTGAGTGGATGGGAAAAGTATGTTTTGACTGTGAAAAGAGAGGAAGAAAGCTAGACGTTTGGGTGAGGCAGAGAAAACTATGTTAACAGTAGGTCTGTATATGTATGTGCCTATATACATGCCTGAGTGTGTGTGTGTGTATGACTTCATCACCCCTAAGGTGGTTCAGCAGGAGGAAGTATAACAAAACATGAGCCCTGCAGTCACATTGCAACCAGCACATTTCTTCTTTCTATCTGCCATTGAAGGCAGGAAAGGCAGGATTTGCACTGTGACAATGCATTTGAACATTTTTGCTTTTATTTTTATAATTATGTTTAGTAACGAATGCTTATATGTGCTTTCCAGCTAATTATGGAAGAATAACAACTATCCTGATATCTGAAAAAAAAATAGCATGTTAATATAAGAAATTCAAAAGCAACCATAAAGGGCCTTTCAGAAATCATATTTATATATGTTCATTTATCAGACATACTGTATGTTGTGCTAATCATCCAACTCCAAAATATATTAAGATTAGAATAATAACTTTCCCCAAAACAGACTATGAGCTACATGTATTGTCTATGTTGCTGAAGCCAGATATTGCAAGGCCCTTAGATAGCTAAAAGCTAGACCAGCGGTTCTCAATCTTGTCTTCACCATGGACCCCCTTTAAACACCTCCCCCCTCAAGGGGTCGGCGGGCCACAGGTTGAGAACCACTGAACGAGACAGTTTATTCTCCATTGATCAAAAACCACTTATTTAGGAACTTAGGAAACTTTTAACCTTAGAGAAATCTTTGATAGGTTTAGCATTTACATTGATTAGATATAGTATAGCAACTAAGAAAATAACAAGCAGAAAGAATATAATTTAAATAGGAACCTTTTTTAAACTTTGCAATAGTTGTAAATAACATAGCAGACATTTTTGTACATCCTACTGATAAAGAAACTTTGTTATGATCGTTATGTTGAGCTTCAGCACAATATTCACATAGTAGTTCATGATCTTCAAGACAGTATTTCGAAAGCGGTATTTCACCATGGATTAAGCAGTTTTTGTCTTCCCATATGTCATCACTAATTTTAACATAGGCATGATTTAAGGAAGAAATATCTTGGTGATAATTTCTCAGGCAAAAATTGCAATAGTTCAGTTGACATGTCAAACATCTCTTGTCCGCCTTGCGCTCATCGCAAATCTGGCAATAGATTGGGATATAGCTTTTGTCAAACCTCCATCTTAGGAAACCATATCGGCGCATATACTTTCTAGCCAATCTCGCCCTTAAATAATTGATCCTCAGATACATTTTCTTAGAAAATGGTAGGCAATGTGCTTTGTTGCAGATTGGACATGTGATGATGTAGAAACTCTCTGTAATTTCAGCATTTAGTCTGCTCTGCATGATACATTTATCACAAATGCAGTGATTACAAGGCAACATAAATGGGCGGAGAAACATTCGTTGGCACAATGGGCATACAAGCTGGTCAATAAAAGCATGTCCAGAAGGTTCTTTGTCCAATGTAATGATAGATGTATCACTTGCCCCTCGGCTTCTGAGTCTGAAAGTAAAACCAATACAGAAATCTTGGAGTTATATCTGATGATGCCATGAACTTTTATAATTATCAAACTTAAAATAATAATTCTACAATTAGCCCACAAACAGGGTTAAAAACAATAGGCTAAAAAATTGATGGCATGAGATTGAAGTCCTTCCTACCCTGTTAACTCTTTCTGTTGAAATAGATTTAGAATGCAAAAACAGAGAATAT